TGTCAATAACAAAATATAAAAATTTATAATTATAATAATTGAAAAACAAAAACTAACAATACATTAATAATATTAAATTTTAGAATTACTAATGCTTATTCTGCGGAGTACTTAAAATTATTGAACTTTTATACTTAACTAAAACTTTTTAATTTTTTTTACGAAAACAATTTTTTTTTTAAAAATTAATATTTATTCTTAATTTAGCAAGAAATAAACCAAATTTCATGCATATTAAAAATGGGATGGCAAAATAAAATTTAAACCGAGCAATTGGAACACTTTAAAAGGTATTAAAACGGAAGTATATACTCTAAACAATTTCAAGAGAAAATCACTAGAAAATGTCTAACATAAAATAGATCAAGCATTTCTTGCTCCACATATGTGCCCGCATTCTCGGCATTTGAAATTGCAATTTGCTTTTTGCTAACTGCAGTACAAAACGGGACCTACTCGCAGCCACAATTATTCTTGGATTGCGGTTTCAATTGTACATATTCAACCACAGACAAAATCAAAGGCATTATTGCTATTAAGTGGGTTTCACATATTATTGCTGCTATTTAGATTTTTAACATTAGTTGGATTTATTGCACATAGTTATATGCCTATGTGTATTTGTAAATATATTTTTGCTTTTATTATAGTTAGAAAAAGGTAAAATACTTAGACACTTATGCAAAAGTGGCATCTTTTTAAATAAAAATGAATCAATCGCTTTTAATAAGTCATAAGATAGGTCACCAACAGTGACCTTTTTGCAATAATATAATTACATTTTCAACGTATTTAGATATTTTGTATATTGTACATCAGTTATTTTCTAGATATTAATAAACCAACCAGTATCTGTAAATCTATGATAGACTTTTCTTTTCTTAAAAAAACACATATGATATAACAGAATTAGACAACTTGTGGTGAGACTAAAAACAAATCTGTCCATTCATAAGCCCATCTAGTAGTATTAAATTAATTAACTTGGATAAAAACGTATTGGGTAATTTTATACCCATATTGTTACCTATCATTGCTTAATAGGCGACCTGCACACACAAGTACGCGGTCAGAAGAAGGAGAAGGTTGTGAAAGGTTGAGGGGTTGTGAAATTCTGTGCAAAGGAATCAAAAGATTTTATTTATAGATATGTATATTTAAAACTAACGCATTATAACTGTTTAATAAAATAAAATTTTTTTTTTATTTACTGACATCTGCACGCCATTATGATCCGAAGTCAATGTTTGGTCATAAGCCAGTACACGAAGCCTTGAAGTTGTGACTGATGACCTTTGTCACCTATGCTAAGAGTGAAATAAAACAATTGTCAAGGAATAGAGCTACAATTCTTTGAGATCTGTTTTTTGTAAACACTGAAGAACCTAATAAAACTAATATTAGAGGTCTCATAAAATTCTTGATGAAATGAAATACATTAAAATAATATAGATAGCTCTAAAATAACAAATCACCAGGACGAGGGACTTCTTAAACAAAGATACCTTGAGTGGCAAAACGAATCCATAGTTTGTCTACATGCAATTTGTTGTAAACTAACCCTTATATTCTAACCTGACTTTATACACTCTAAAATACCAAATTACTAGAAGGTGGAATGGCTTAGCAGAAGAGCCCCTCAATCGCACAAGAGACCTATTCGTGTTTTGTGCTAGATTTGTTAAAGACTCACTCATAAATCCTAACCTAACTTTATACACTCTGAAATACCAAATCACTAAGAGAAGGCAATTTTTAAACAAAGATACTATGGGTAGCACAACGGACCCATATGTTTTCTAACATACATGAAGTTTGTTGAAGACTCGACCTTAAGTCCACACCTAGTTTTATACACATTAGAATACCATTTTGCTAGAAGGTGGATTATCTTGGAAGAAGACACCTTAAGTCACGCAAGGAATCCAATGATGGTTTATATTAAGTTTTTTGCAGACTTATTCTTAAATCTTAACCCAACTACTAGATACCCAATAGTGATAATAATAATATCTATTCGTATTTAAAATTTGTCACTTTAAATAATCGAATCCTTTTTATTATTGAAAACCATTAAGAAAACCAATTGAAAATTATTTGCACAAGTACTTTTGTAAATGTGCAACATGTTGTAAAAAAGTGCAATATGTAGCACATTTACGTTAGAAAACAATTTAAACTGTTGCATGTAGAATTTCATTTTATACTCCTTTATAAGTATCTATTTTTTTATTTTTTCGTTCTATTTCGATTATTAAAATGTCTACAAAACGTTATGTTCCATTTTCCATAAGTGCATTGCTGATATGTTGCACGTACGTTTTGTGGAAATGAAAGTTGGGCTTTGGTGCGCATATTTGCTGTTATCCTTAACTCAGATCTTTAGCAACTGTTGCTGCTCTATTGCTGCTCTGTGTTGCTGCTCTACGACGAACATTGTAAACATATTTCTCATATAATCTATTATATTTCTTGCACATTTGATTTTCCCTACCTAACCGCATTACGTGGTGCACTGATAAAATTTTTTGCACATATTTTATGCGAATTGTGTGTTCAACATTTATTTGTACACATTGAGGCGGCTTACGTCTTTGCCTACTTATTTGCTTACGCCGCTTACGTATTAGCGGCATAAATCACAAATTGTTTTTGTTGTCATCTTTATTGTAATGTAGATATAAATTTATATTGACATCGTAAAGGTAAAATTGTGCACATATTGTTATATATGACACATTTCTTTGTATTCTCTTTTCTTGCCGCCCCAATACTGCCGCCCCAATACCACCGCCTCGCCGTTGTCTTTGTGGCAAGACACTGCAATAACCAATTTATTTTCTATAAAAGTATCGCTTTTTATGATTTTTGTTTGGATGAGGAATTGCGATTGCATGTCATTTGCGCAATCAGTGCTAAAAAAGATTACTTTTAGGTTAAAGGATTTAATTTTATTATTATCTTCTTATGCCTTGATATATATACGAGTATATAGATATCTGCTTTTAGTGTAGTTTTTATTATATTTTTGGTTAAATTTTATTGAGTTATTAAAAGGACTTATCCTTACTATGCCTTCAGCTACGTGATGTTACTAGAAGCAAAAAAGTGCTGCGATGTAAAAAATTTGACTACAAAGCAAAATTTAGTTATAAGGGAAAGTTAAGTTTCTATAAAATTATTTATTATTATTAGAGTTATTTAGAGAATTGAATTGCATTTCCATTTAAGATACTTGAATATTGAGAGATTTTTTTAAGTCTAGCAATTTATATGCAAACAATTTATTTGCTCTATAAAATATTTTAGAGATATAAAGAAAGTGTTGTTTCTTTTCTAAATATTAAATTTCTTTTTGTTATATGTCAGCACTTTTTAGAATCACTTGATATTAACTAAATCTATTTATTGATATCTGTTGGATCGTAAACATATAAGCTTTTTTCATAATTCTACATTTTTTTTTTTACTCAGTGAGAAATTAATAAATAGAAATAGAAAAACAAATACAGAAAAATAGAACTAAAAAATAAAAATAAAAAAATAGAAATAGAAAAACAAATATAGAAACATAGATATATAAAAATAGAATTAGAAATAGAAAAACAAATATAAAAAAATAAAAATAGAAATAGAAAAACTTGATAGGAAGAATTAATATAAAAAATTGGTGCTAGCTAACTGCACTAAAAAAAGGAATGCACTAAAAAAAGGATGCTCTACATCCGAACCCTGGTTCCAAGTATTTTTCCTAGTCCAACTTTTTGGATAGATTGTGTTCTGACGCAAGTTGCAAACTATACTTGATCTTCGGTGACAAATAATTTGTAAGGAAGACTTTACCGTTTCTAAGTTTGTAGTAAATAATAAACCTGAAGTACCACATAGGCACTAGTAACTTAATTTTCACAACACTGGATACGTTTGGATTGTGGATTCTAATTCATATCAAAACTTTAGTTTAAAATTTGAGTTCTGGTCTGAAATATCTACACTTCTACAGAATATTTACGACTTGGAGGTAATGATATAAGCAAGCTTTAGTAAGCTAACTTTTAATAAACCAATATTGATAACTTACTTTAAAACAAACTATGAAAAAACAATTCCTTAAAACTTTAGAAAGAACTACGCTAATGGAAAGAGTAGTAGTCATATCTTAAAACGTAAATTCAAGAATAAGAATAAAATATATATATGACCATAATAGTCATAACACTAAGAAGAACTAAAAGGACATGTTCAGCTTTGGAATTATTGTGACAGCTATATAAAATTAATCCAAAAAGTATAATACCACTAGGTGCTGACCCGAAATTTAAAGCACAGTAACTCTATTGTTTCTTTATATTCTAAAATGTACTACATTTTTATATAGTCCTATATTATTTTATAGAGTGCAGATAAAAAGAATTTTTTTTTTGTGAAGTACCATAAAAATCTAAAAGTAAAACATTGTACAGATTTAATTTTTTATAGCTTAAAAATAAACCAAATTTTAAATAAATCTCTCAATGCATTAAAAACCACATTAAACACCTTACTTTTGCCACATACTCAAACACCAAATCCCAGTTAACCCAATCACGTAATTTAAACCAAAAACTTTTAATAGCTCACACATCAAATTTTAAATACACATACATTATTTACACATATACATATACACATATAGTAATATACACCTCTAATATATATCTCAAGACAATACTAGCATTTGCATTGTGACTACAAACCAAGTGTCCAATTGTGCATACGACTGACTCACTATACCAAAGTTTCTACAAAAAAATAAAATAATTATTAGCTTTTATGAGAGGTGCTGGTATGGAGTACTAGAATCACTACCAACGCAGTTGTATGAAAATACCAGGATACATCTATATGGTTTACCGTCATATTGGTTGGCAGCATACGCAATAAAACTTTCGAAATTTATAGATGTAAGAGCACATTACCCTTACCGAGTAATATTCGTATGTAATGCCAGCTTGCAACTACCTATGCTTGCATTAGCCTATCATTTGCTATATGACATTACTGACATAACGAGTGGAGACACGGTGCGGTATGGCACGTCGAGCCTAAAAAACCATAAAAATGGATAATAATGTCAAAGCCAAGAATGACAGCATCATCGTGCGGAAAATTATGTGCACATTTGAACGCTGATGA